AGGTATAGTAGTAGCAAAAAGAATGCAAACATGAATACATGGATGATATAGCTATACATTTTTCTTGTGTTCTTTCCTTACTGTATGTTCCTCAAGATTTGTAGCCAAATGTATGATATCTGAGGTCATTCCACAAGTGCAATGAAGAAACTGACAAAACTGATATATTAATTATATATATTACCACTGAATTGTAAAGATAAAAATAAATTTCACTTATCAACCAACTTCAATGAAATTGCTAAAAAAAGGGGGGGGGTGAGGGGGGAATAAAAAAATTGCAAAAATTAAGTATGATTTAAGGATGGCAATGCCAAAAAAGTACAGACACAAGATAGCGATGAATACACAAGTCCACAGAAAAATCACTACATAAGTAGCCAAATATTTCCAAGAGTAACTTATCTACAACTAAATATTGAATTCCTGTCAGTTGTATGAATTCAGGTTTGAATAAAGCATTTAACCTGAATAGTGCTAAGCAGACTTATAGTGGCTAATAAGTCATAAGCTTGAAAGATTGCTTCAGTACCTACTGGCTACTTATGTAGTGATTTTTTGTATGGTTTTGCATATTCATCCCTACCTTGTTTCTGTACTTTTTGGCATTGCCATCCCTACATCATATTTAATTTTTGCAATTTTCTTCCAATAACTTGTACTGAAAATGTTAGTTAATATACATTTTGAACTCTTCTGTTATTTTAAAAACAGCATGCTGGTGCCCTGTTACTTTCCCCGATACTCCATTTTTTAATAATGGTCTTTATTATTTTTCTAGATTATGTTTTATTGTACAGGAAAGAAAAAGTAGGGGTTATTTTATGGCAACTTTCTTTGCAAAGATATATTCCTGCTACTCTTTTATATTCATTATTGATCTTGGAGCACCAAAAATTGTGACTTGACTGTGATCTAACTGGTCTATGAACAAACATTTTATTTCTGTCAAACCAAATTCTACTTAGTAGCAAGTCAAGACAATTCATATGTTTCATTCAAGTGTGAAGTCTGAAATAAAATATTACAGTATACAGCACATTGAATATATATAGCTATGAATGTTAGGATAACTTTATTTTGTATAAGAGTTGTAGAAAATGTAAATATCAGAATAATTACACTGTTTTGAAAAGTGAATAAATGATTGGTGTCTTTAGTGTTATAAACAATGATAATGTATACCATCAATTGCACTCTTTCTCTCTCATAAGCACATGTATATTCCCATTCTAGAGCACTACAATGGGCACATATATGGGTCACACTATATAACCTTTGGTGTATTTTATGCTGTGCCTTAATGAAATATCAAAAATATCATACAAGGTGGAGTTGAGAAATTAATTGAAATTTATTTCACCAGTTTTATATTGCTTTTTACTTCATATATAATAGAATAAACTGTTGGAACCAAAAACCAACCACCTTCTGTAGCTTTGATTACTCCAGATAGCAAGTAAAACTCATAAACCCATCATATGGGTTATAACACATTTTTAGTGCCAGAAGTGTGATTTTGAAAGATGCATACAGAATTACTGGTATAAAGTTTTAATTCTTATGTTGATGTTTATTTCAATTTGTGTGTCTGTGTGTGTGTGGTCATGGTGAATGCATATTTTGTTAGAGAGGTGGGTAATGTCAGGATGTTATGTTACACAACTGGAAATTTTCCGGATCCACTTGTTTATCATCCCTACAGTATGTGTGACCTTCTAACAATATGTCTTATTACTTCATTCCAATCATGTAAAACAGAATTAGTTACAGGTATATAAGGAAGTTGCAGAAAACATCAGTGATGTGATAAAGAGTGAAGTTAGTGTTGCCTTTTCATAGATATTACTTCATTCTAGACATTATTTTGTCCAGGTGTCAACCAGGACCGAGTACTCCCCTCGCCCCCCTAAAGAAAAAAAAACATACATAAAAATTATAAACAAAAACAAAATTGACATTCATTGCATTTAACCGAATAATCAACAACAGAAAATTCAATTTTTACTTTCAATGCCTAGCCCCAACTTCTCAAACCCTAACTCCTATTGTTCTCAAAACCCCACCTTCCCCAGAAATCCACTTCTCAAGCCGTGCCTGTTATTAACCCGTATTGTTTTCTGAATCCCTGACTTTCAGAGGATGGTCAGTCTTTGTTGCTTGGAACACGTTTATTTTTTTAACTAAACCATTAATTAATGAAACTTTCAGTACTGCATTAGTTGCCACAAAGATTAGGGTTTAGATGCCTAACTTTGACACTCGGCCAGAACCGAGTATTACTAGGTAGCCCAATAGCCGGCTGGGGCTGAATATCTGGCCGGGTACCCGTGCATCCCTAGTTTATATATATTAAGTGGGCAGGTTGAATGGATTATGTTGATTAGTGTCACATATTTACTGTATAATCAAAATTCACGATTATATCAACTGCCTCAAAAATGATCATATAATCAAAATTAGTGTTTCCAATTACTATTGTTTTAGATTATTCCACCTATTCAAGTAATTGAAATACTGCTACCAAACGTACTTAGTACTCACCTCGTCCTTGTTATGGCAAAGCTACTAAGAATATATTTGCCATCGTCATTAATTTTAAATTACTCATCAGTATAAGGAAGATAAGTGTGTGACAGCACCTGCCATCATAACTTTTTTTTTTATGAATAACACTGTACTAATCGATTAATGGGTCGATCAATTAATTGATTAGCAAATACCACAAATCGCCTAGTTCTATTTAATATTATAAATTAGCATACTGTATATTACCATTTATAGTTCAATCAGTTTGTACATAATCCAAATCAATTTGTATTCGTCAGATTGCACTGTATGTTGTACACTTGTACCTATATAAAATATTTATGAAAAATGCACAATTAGTTGTCTAAAGGATTTTATATTATCTTGGTTTATTATGTATTTTACCATGTCATAGTTGAAATAACTACTACTTTCACTCTTTCATAATTAGTTTAGTATATATATCTGTAGTAAGGTATGTTCAGGTACGTTTCTCTATGTTCTGAATAAAGGCATTTACAACTTAACAAAAGTAAAAAAAAAAAAACAATGAATTTTTATTAACTCTAGCCACCAAAATGCAAACTATTAATCCATAATAACCAGAGATTCATTAGACCTGTTTAGCAGAGGTGTAATTAAGACTGACTTTGCCACATATCAAACAGACTGGTACAAAATGCTCAATTAACAACACTTTATTGAAGAAAATAACAATGAAATTTGACATGTGATGTCTGCTAGACAAAGATCTTAATCAAAATATATTTTTTCTTTCCCTTAAGAATTTAACTTATTCTGGATGAAAAAAGAAATACACAAGACTTGAACTTACGTGAAGTTGAGAATTCTACCTTAGTTTGTCATTATATTAGAAAACTTCATATTATGTTTTGTTTCCAGATGCTCATGTTATCCACATCATTAGGCAAGCCTCATTCCCATAAAGGAGATATCATAGTTTTTGACGTATCTATCTACACCAGGCTTTGACAAATCATCATGGCCTCTAGTAGTTTCTCCCATTTTATTCATGAGTAGGGAAGTGATAAATAGAACTCAAATCTAAAACAGTTATGGACAATTGGAAGTCCAGAATTATTTTCACGTTCTTTGTGTCTGAAATCGAACTTTGTTTCTAGGATTTTAATGGCAGATTCAACACTTCATGTTTTTACAGGAATAAAGTGCTGCAGTTGCAAAACATGTTACTAATTTTATGCCATTTTGTTTTTCTTCTTTCTTTCAATTCCACCAATCAGCATGCATGTTTAGACTCAGACGAGACCAAAGGCAGTTCAGGCAATACTATCAAGTGGTTGTTGATATCATGTGATTTTTAGCATGCACTAATTGCTGTGAAAGTAAATAAATATAACCTCCATTTCCCGGTACTAACAGTAGTGAAGTTAGATTATGCATACCAAAAGGCCTTTCCTTATCATTATACAGTGTTATAGTGATGACTAGATTAGACCTATTCTGAAACAACCTGTTTGGCCTGTCAATATCGCAGTGATTATTTTACTTTCAGTCATTGCAAGAATCCACCTAAGTTATAGTTATTTGGTCTACTATTTTAATAAATGCACATATTCAAGTTTAACTTTAATATATGTAACATAATAAAGTTTAATAATGAATCCTTTTTTTTTAATGTAAAACTGTATTTCTCATACCTTAACCACACAACCAACTCAAAATATATTCCATAACTTTTCTATATCAGACCTGGCTCCTAGATCTGAAAATATTTGCCGTGGCCTGATCTACACAAGTAACCAACATACTAGGAACCCAATGAAATCATTGCAATGCAATCAGGTTTGAAAACAGTTGTGTCTGTAGCTTAGCCTTCAGCCATATGTGACAGTTCCTAAAAGCAGAATCAGCACAATTCAAACTGGACACATGGTCTTCACCTATAACTTTTAACTGAGAGCAAAAAATATACTGAATTTTTATAAAATAGTGTGAATAAAGCTATATTCATACGCTATATTAACAGTGATATACTTCATGATACCTGCATATCATCACTTTTTCACCACTAAATCAAGTTTAACTACTAGTTACAGCTGAGATCTGACCTTTGATTTAAAAGTAACTTATACTGTTATAAGTCAACCATCTTTACTATGTTTAAAAATTTTGATAATTTTTTTGTATTAATGCTATCACAGTAAAGATAAAATCATACTGTATTTATAATACATGCAATGATATTTTAATGCACATGTACAAAAAAAAAAGATAACATTATCATCTAGAATAAATTTAGGAAGGTAATGTCAGGAATCACTTACTTGAGAAAATCTATTTGTAAGATTTATCTACTAGGACTAAAGAATATCACAGAATTGTTACAATAGCTCCTTATATATATTATTCTTTATTCTATTAGTTCAATAAAAAGTCTTTCTGATAGCACTAAAGCATTTCATATACTAGACTTTTTCACAAATACTCACCATTCAATTCTGTCAGCTTTAGCACATGGACTCCACTAATACCAGTTTTGCGGGTTGTCACTTCAACACAGTCAGTGGTTTTCAATTCTGATATCCACACTTGTTTATCAGCAGTATGTAATATAATGTTATCTTTAACTTGAAGAGCTTTGGAACAAACTGGTGATGGAATGTGAATGAAGGAAAAGTTTAGTGATCCAGACCCATAGATACGCACCAATACTATCTTGCCTTGTTTTCCTACCATGAGTAAACAGTCTCCAGGCTTTTGTGCTAAACCAAAAAATAAAAGAAATAATGAACTGGCTAAGCACCACACCATGCAGAGTTTTATTAAAAATTACAGTACATATTGTGTGATAATGATTTCTCTTTAACCACAATATTATTCAATTCATAAGCTACATATAAATGCCAATACTTTTTTGTTTAATACATACTCGTATGTATACTTTGCAATTACTTATGCATTACATTAGAATCCCAAAAATTTCTTTGCTTTCATACTTAAAGCCATATTTTTCTACATGACACTTGTGGTACAATACCTAATATCATGATTGTTTGTTTACCATTACTTTGAAAACTGTAATAACATGAACAAGTCTTAAACTTGGAAGAAAAAGGATTTAACATAGACAACTCTTTTACAGATATTTTTGTTCTTTAAATATGGTCACTTCCTTCTATCAAGGTCTACTACTGTATATAATAAATTGTCATGAAAATTATCAAGACCTAGAAAATATTGATAACTGCTAGTCTTAATATTCAAAAAATCATAAAGACATTTACAGAATTTTATACAGACAAGATGAAGAGGTTTTGAATATTCTACCGAATCAGAAAAATATCAGTAATTATAATGTTTGTTTTATAAATTCCAGTTCACATTATAAAACACTAATCATAATAAATCTAATGTAACCTGAAACGTAATCTAGCAGAATGAATAAAGCTTTACACTACATTTACAAAATAAAACATAAAACAATAGAATCTTATCCACACAAATTTTATCAGAAAAAAATTTCCACAAGACTAATTGATTTTTATTTATCCCTTAGTTTGAGGGGATATGACTCGGATGTTCAAGATTATTACAAGAATTGATAGTACTAATAGTATTTATTCTTTTTTGTAAGAAATGGTGAAAATGGTATGATAAGGGAGCAAAAATATAAATTTCTGCAGAGTATGAGTCATCTTCAGCCTTAACAAGTTTTACTTTTCTAACATGAAAGTTGGCATTCAGAGTGATTGCATACAGATATGGTGGTTAAATTTAGGGGAGTATAGGTGAGAGCTCAATAAATATTCAAATGATCAGGGCTGTATTTGAATGTATTTGTTAAGTGGATAGGACAACCTCTGTGGACCAACAGGCTTCTTATTGTCCTTAGATGTCATACGTTATGCTTTCACAAGTATTTTTCCAATGATACATGTTTCATATGATATATTTACATGACCTTTTGTTCCATTAACAAAATATAGCTATACCAAATTATAGAGATTTTGAGCTTTCTGGGATGTAAAACACTAAAAAAATATCAGACAAACATAATTTATGCTGCATATTTATTTAAAAAAGTAATTTTGTAAATGTGCAAAAATTCACCTTTAATTTTAATTTATAAACACAAAAGTTAATAAGATATTAAATGAAAATGATACAGAGTTGTGTTTGTTGCTTTATCTTATCACTAACATTTGACAAGAAGTAATGCTTCATGTGCCTTGCTTCAAATGTCAACAATTTCTGGCAAATACTCTCCTTTCTGTACCACCAAATGCTATTACTTCGCATGAACTGCTATGTAATTTCCTGCAAATGCCCCAGGCCTGAAACAAAGCTCTCATCACTACATGTCAATAGATATTGCACCAGCATATGATATTAATCATCACTAGACTATATCCTCTACCAATAGGAGAACTACACATCCTCCAGGCACAGTAATCCCCCATGAGCACTAGCACATGAACACAGGCTAATTCTTGAAAAGGCAAACTGGAAGTGGCATGGGAGGTAGTGCAGGGAGGTGAATATCTAACTGAAATGCATTTTCAGGTGAAGAACATGTTGACTTCAGAAACTCTACTCACCTCTGTGAACTACCAAGAGCTAGAAACCCATATTGAAGTTAGTGAAGAGACCAGTGCAGATAAAATTATGAGTTCCTTTTGGAAAACCATGTCAGAGAGGGAATGCCCATGGAATGCAACATCCAAGAGGAAGAGAGGTAGCCTAGTGGGGCAGCACTCAGTGAGAGAGACCACATCCATCTCAAGCAAGGAATACTCTTTGCCAATAGAAGTGGTAGAGCAAAAGGTATTGTCAGAAAATTCATTTGCTGGATACTTATGTGTCATTATGGTGGGCAGAATTTCAGATTGCTAAACCATCCATTATCACACAGGTAGTCAGCTCAGCATGAATGTGTAGTGTGGCTAGGGCTATAAGTCAGGCCATTCCATATTAAAGAAATACCTACACAAGATATCACAAAAACCTGATACTTGGAATAGTATTTCACACCAGTGTTCTGAGGTGAACTCAAGACCAATCTGGTTGGACCTAAACCCTTGGTTCATAATGTAGTGAGGTGTCCTATATTACACTACCAGACAATACTCCAGTCTTACCTCTGAAAAGATGGGTGCATCCACTCTGTGTCATACCAATATTGCATCGCCCAGTTAGGAACTCTCCACATCAACTCCCCCAGCAGCTTGGGACTGGAGAAACATGGGTTTTCCCATACTCCACTAAAAGAAATTGGGGGAGGAATTCACATAGGGGAGAACATCGGAGAGGTGCATGTACCTTTGTCATCAGGCTGAGAGGAAATGTAATGGTTTACTGTGACTAACAACAGAAGGCACACACCTGATGCTTTTTTTTAAATTCAGGTGCAGAACAACCTGTAAGACAATTATATATATATATATATATATATATATATGCATACTGAAGCTAGTTTTGGGAAACCCATCTACAACAGTGGGTATAGAGCAGGGGCAGATGGACTTAACACCTATACTCCTACTCCCCTGCTCAATGTGGATTGTGGGTAAGCATTCCCTATGAGGCAACACTGACAACTCTGAGTGTTACATTGTCTTTACAATACAGATATATACACATGTTGAATAAGATGGTTGTGAGATCTAAAAAGAACAGAAAAAAAACAACTAATCTTCAGAACCACTGCAAAGAGTGAAATATAGTAACTTGAGGGAGATGAAAGCCAAGGTAAGTGAAACCTTCCTGTGTTGTAATTAATGAAACACTAATGTGTCAGGGTCTCCATAGCTCCACCTGCAGAATCACATATTGGGGACATTGACAGCTGAAGGCAAGAGAAGCCATAAGATAATAACAGACACTTCAGAACAAAGAAGATGATTTTGGTTGAAATGATAGTAAATGGTAGAAAGAAGAAGAGAGAATGAATGGAGAAAACATTGAATCACACTCTTAAGCCACCCATATTTTGAGGCAATCTGGGAAGAAGATGAGCTTGTCCCTATGATACATTGTGCAGGAAGAGGCCAAGACAAAAGTAAGTGGTGGTTCTTGCAATAGAAAAAGGAGAAGTATGTCAATGGAGGTTGAACCCAACTAGCTATAGTCTGGGATTGGATACTAAATGAGTGGAAGTGAGGAGTGGAAGCTAATTGGAAAGACAGTGATGGGAAGATACCCATTGTTGATGCAAATCCACTGAAAACACTAAGACATAGAAAAACCACACTGTGGGAAGGGTCCAGGCCTGGATGAGATAATCAGTCTGCTACCAGACACGAGAGATTGACAAATGAATGTGATGGTTGTGGGCCCACAAGAGAAAGTCCAGAGTCAGGAAAACAGAAATTCTGGGAGTTAGTGCTTTGCTGCTGAGAGAAGGAAGAAAACAAAAGATGCCTAAATTGATCATAAGAAGATCAGATAGGTGAGACAGAAGTGGTGACAAGCCTACACATAGACACCAGCTTGAGGGTGTAGAGACAGAGAAATCTTACCCTTGGAGACCAGATGTCGGAAAGAACTCAGGCATCCAGAACTGCACCTTGCTAGAACAGAGGCAGTGGGAAGGTGTGGTTGTAGGTTTTTTTTATGGTAAACATAAAATGCACTATGCTCACCACAGATATGGAAATCCACTTACATAAGTGGAAGGAGTCTACAGACTGCTTTAAATATGCACAGACGTTTTGTGAGCTGTACTGTATACAGCACATTCTCATTCAACTGCCAGATGCAGATTGTACCCTATACAGCAAATGAACAGACAATGGGTTTAGATACCAATGTATAAGAAATACACCCCAAAAAATCATATCACACACACCAAAAAAGGTGCAAAATAGAGGTTCTGAAGAGGAGAACGAGAAAATTGAAAGTTCAAAAGTAGGACAATCTAACAAAGTATACCCCACAAACAAAGGAAACAAGGTAGCCAAGACAAAATGGAAAAACTTAGAGAAAGATGAAAAATAGTTATGTGCAAATTGCTCCAGTAAAGCTGACATAGTCATAATGGAAAGCCTCAAAATGAATGTGAAGCATGATAATGAACAAAGAATTGAGTAAGAGATAAAAACAAGTAGATGGAGAGAAAGAAAAAGGAAGGAAAAATAAATTCCTAAACTGGAAGAAATGATTCAGGTGAATGAAGCTCAAGCAACAACAGAGCCTGAGATTCAGCAAGAAATTTAATGGAGTAAGAGAAAACAAGATTGTGGAATCCAAGCAGTGAAGGACAAAAGTGAAAGTACCTGATCCACAATGAGAACAGGGAATGAGAAACAAAAGCAGGAATAGAAACAATTGCGCTGAAACACCCAAAAGATGAGGAAGGTTCGGCTAAAGTAACAGAAGCAGGAAGTCGATAATTCTGGATCAGAAATCAAAACGGAACAACCAACATGATACACCATGACGGTAATATCACTGATTATCGGCATCTCCAGTCCCCATGAAAGTATTGGATGATTCCTATAAAGAAGTGTGAAAAACCTTAATGTCAGAAACATGGGAACATAAAAGATAATTAGCCAAATATAGCAATGATGCATAGACCTAATGATGACCTTAAAGAATACTGGAAAAAACCCATATGTTGAATTAAACACAAGAGCAGACAATGGAACATTTGTCCCAAAAGTACTAAATTGATTAACAGCAAATCAAGTAGAAGATAATCCAGAGGAAAATTGTAATAGATAAGTTTAATATGAAAAAATTATGTAAAGAAAGACTGTGCAATAAATAGTAATGAAAAGTTAGAATAATAAGTATAAAAATGCCACTAAATCTAATGAAAAAACACAACTGAAGACAAGCAGTGCTAAGAAAAGAATGAGCCTGTGTTCATGTGCTAGCACTTATAGGGATTACTGCACAAAAAAGAAGTGTCACCCTCTTACTGCTGGATGGCTATAGTCTAATAATGATTACATCATAGACTAGCACAATATGCTTTGATATGTGTAGGGGGAACTTTGTTCAGGGTTTGTGTTATATACAGGAAATTACACATAAGTGTGCAAGGTAATAGCTTTTGGTGGTGCAGAGGGGTTGAGTAGCATTTGTGAAATCCATGTTTAAAAATAAGAGAGGGGTAATACACAAGATATTTAAATTAAATCAGCATTATGTAATACAATTCAAGACAGAAGCACTTGACAGACAGTATTGTCAAGTAAAAGATTTTAAAATCTGAGATGTATCAACATGCAAATGAAGATAGAAAAACATAAAAAAGTAGCATACCATCACTCTTTACTAACGAAGTGAGAAATATTCCAACAACAGGTTGTTCTAAGTCACAAACTAAATTAATATTTGTCTCTTTCTGTCTCACTCTTTCTCCAGCTGTCATGGTCCAACTTATCACACGCCCATCTGGTAATCCTATTAGAATGACAGAACTTCCAAGTAATGCAGAATCAGGGCCAAACAAGGAAGAATACAGATCTTGCTGCATTTCTAAACTTGATCCTCTGACAACACTAGAATCAAGGGTATGTGATGGTGGAGAAACACTAAGAAAGACTGGTTTTCCTGGTTCATTGAAGACATCTTAATCGGGATAAAAAAGAATACGGAAGTCTAATCACATGAAATAGCAAAACTTCAAAACTAAAAAAAAACCTCTAAATACTTCAATGATTTAATTATTATGTCCATTCTCAGAACAAATATTTCAAAACTTGCAAAAAAGCACATTTTCAAGTTTCTCTAATAATTTCCATTTGATTTCCAAGTTAAACATGTACTTTTTAAGTGCATGTTAAAAACATTAGATTTCATTGAAATACCAAAAAGAAATATTTAAAGGAATTCTGTTTTGAGCATTTGATACAAAGTTTTATCTTCCGTTTTAACTACTTGTGATAAACATTACTTTCAATTTTTTGACAAATATGAGAAGGTAATTGATATAGACCTGCACTCGGTGAGTAACACTTTAAGTTTGCTTGAAAGATACAAGAATATAACGTGTGTACATCTATACTTTGGTAAGTACACTATTTCAGAAAATAATTAACACTTTCTTTTCAGCACTGATGCCTGGTCAAAGGAGACTTAAGTTAACTACCAAAAATGCAATATTACCTAAAGTTTCTAAAATTAGCAAGAGCAAGCAAATCTAAAAGTTAACACTTTGGCTTGGTCACATTGATCCAAAAAATTCAACAAGACAGCAATTTCATTTATTACAACTAATAATTGTACTTCATTTGTATTTTAACTATCCAAATTAGTGTAATTTACTGAATTATTAAAAACTTACTAAAAGAAGCTCAAAATGAAACAAAAAATACCTTTGCATAGCTCCAAAATACTTGATTCATCTGTGAAACAGACAATGTCTGCAACATTTTTTCTTCCTTTTGGTATTGCTATTTCAGCTAAATCATTTGTATTTTTTTTTAACAAACTAAAAACCTGAAAAGTCCAAAAAAGGTTGTCTTCCACACATGTTAAGAATCTATTCTCATGGACAAGTTCAGTGCATATGATTTGCTTTTCAAGCCACAGAGAAGACCTGTCAAGGTTTACAGGTTGATGATGTCTGCAATTTGATTCTGAGCTCTCATTCAACAAAGACTTAAAAACATCCTCCTCCAAAGCTCTTTCTCTAGAAAATATGCATCAATCAACAATTACAAAGGAAATTCCATAATGAGAAGCAAATGTGAAATCACATTAACAAGTATTAAGCAGGCTTAATGCATCAGCTTTTATTCATATCTGCTACTGAGTATGTAGAATTTTTATAAATAAGAACTATAGTGATGTTTGTCCTCAACTTGAAAGGAATATAAAGAGGGTCAATGTTATATCAAGTCAGTCTACTCTAGTAGTGTGCAGTCTAAGCTACAGTAATCCATAGGCTATATGTGTGGCATTCAAACACCCCATAAGCCAGCAAACTATAACATCACTCCTTATAGCAGCTATTACCTTGCAACAGACTTCCACCTTCTCTATTGACAACTTAAAAAAGTATGGTATACAAAAAATAAATGATAAAAATTTACAATAATTATCTAGCACCTAGACTTAGCTTGCAACAGCATAAATTCTTGCAAACTGCTTATGTTTTGCAGTAAATTATGCTTTTTAGAATGCAGAAGGCCTCAGGTTGACCCTTAGAGAGCCATACATGGCACACAGAACGCCAATCACTGATGTATTCCAACCTAAGATATATATTTGCACTTTAATCTCACTAATTAAATTTTATTTCAAAACACCGTATTCCTGTAAGACATTCATAGAGGACTTTCAAAAAGGTAAACATACAACTTAAAAATTAAGAATACTGATCTGTGATCTCTTAAAAATAAATACATACATTATGATCAGTCCATAGATGCTTTTTTATATTAACTTTCGTTAATTCCTCCTACAACGTACATAATAAATAATAGAAGTTCAACTTTCAATTTTCCATATGCAATGCAGCATATTTAACACATTCTGAAACAATGTGAAAATTATATACTTGTTTAATGGGCAAAGTAAAACTGTAAATCTTATTATCATCAGCATTGTGTGTTATGAATTCCACACCTCTGTAAGTGTACTATTGTACTGCATCATTCGTTCTATTTCTAGAAAAGCATCCCAGATAAATATCTAGGGAGCCATGTAATTTCCTGAAAGTTCTGTACTGTGGAACACATACACATGAACATTTCAAAATGCATACCTTTAAACCTAAACTATATACACAAATATTATTTTAATTCACAAACTCTCAGTCATACACAGAGTAACAAACATATTTAAATTAATGCAACAATACTATTATATTGCTTTTGTCTAAAGTAGAAGCTCAGTAAGGTTTGATTTCCAGCTCTAGGAATATATAAAATAATAAAAATGACAAAAAACTATTTTTAGTTCATAACAGTATTGATGAAGACCATGATTTCTATATCAGATCATAAGTAAAGTTATATTCTGCTTGTTTTGCATGTGTTTTGTGGGAAAGGAAGAGGGCAAGTAGATTTTTCTAGCATATTGTCCCTTGGACAAGAAGTTTTTTCACAAATTTCACACCCCCTAACTTAACAGAACAGCTAAATGCAGTTCTATTCTAAGCATTAAATTAATCCTAACTTAGCTACTATTCAAAATTAACCATAAATGTTATCATTCTTGATGAGATAATCATCAAGGAGGCATCATCATTTCTTTACACATTTCTTTCTTTACCTTGATGTTGACTTTAAAGATGACTTGAAGATAGCTCCTTTTGTAACAACAAATACATTGTCATCAGAAATGTGTACATTTTCAACAGGGGCATCTAACACAAATATTTCCTAAAATGCATTTGAAATAAAAGTAAACATATTAGACATGGTTTTAGTGTTACAGAAATAATTCTTATCCATTTTCCAAAAACACCTCCTTACTAATTAAATTCTGTTAACTTTTATATTATAGAAATATATCTTTATTGGTCAAGATTTACTCTTGTTTTTTTAAAAACATAAATAAATACATTAGACAGTTACCTGGTTTAGATCTACTTCTGTATTAGAGAAATATATTCTTATTGGTTACATTTGAAATGTTTTATAAATGGTATTCCCCAGTGAATTTTTATTTTTATACAAATACACTAACCATTTACCATCCATGTCCATCTAGTTTTCAACACATGAAGACAGACAAACACTAGTTAGATGTTTTGTACAACGTTTTTGATATTTTGAAGTACTCTAAACAGTTAGTGTTCAGCTCTTGCTCTGGTCTAATAATTACAAGTTGATATCAAAGATTAACATTGTTTTAAGCATAAAGTCACACAGCTAGTTCTCAGAAAAATATTTAAAGAAAAAATATTCCAGTTTCCTACTTTTATTGATGTAATGGTATCTTGAAGTAACTGTAAGCTGTTCATGACCTGTTATGTCTAATTTTTTAACATACATTTTATATTTTCCTAATGTTTGAAAAAAAACTTTTCAGTTAAAATTTCTTTTTATTTTTCACAAAGAAAATTATAACATCACTCTAAAGTAAAAACAGATTTAGGTATTATATCAGTGGTTCTCAAACTGGCATCAATGGACTACTGGTGGTCCATGGAAAGGTTACATATTTATGGAAAGGAAATTGTAGTATAGTGTGCAGGTCCCACTTTGGTTTGCTGAGATAAAATAAAAAATTCAGATAGTCTATGAAAAAAAAAAAGCTTAAGAATCACCATTTTAAAGAATGATTGAAAAGTTAGAAACTGTTCTTATATTTGCATTATTCACACACTTCCAAAAAATGTTAATACTCATTAAGTCCATGTATTAAAAATTATTAAATTACAATTATATAAAAGTTAAGCCAACTTACCTCCAAAGAGAAGTTACATATGTTTTTAACTGTTGAAGTAGTACTTAACGTTGCCAGATTTTTCCCTAACAAATCTTCATTTAAGTTGATTTTATATACAGAAACTTGACCAACTTCCTTACTAAACACAATACATAATGAATAGCATTCTAAATCACGAGTTGGAGGCAATGACACAAATTGAAGCCCAATAGTTGAGGGTCCAAGACTCCATCCAACATTAAAATGAGCTACAGTTATGCAAACTGGCATTGAAAGTGTTATTAACTGATGTACTTTACTTTTAATGTTTTATTTGCACTTCTAGCAAGAGTTCATTATTATCCATTCAAGTACTGTTCTGAACATTCAGAATGTAGAGAAATGGCTTCACAATCCTGAAAAAAAAAAGTTTTGTCTTAACATATGTTCAAGTACATTTCAAAGTTATAGTAATCTCATTCCTAAGACACGTGAAGTGTATAAACTATAGAAACAAATTTACTGCTTCGATCAACTACTGAAGAGGGAAGATGTTGAAATATTAAACTCTTATACTCAAATTATAATTTCTGAAAGTTGTAAATATTATTATTATAATTTGTAGTAATTTGGGTTAAGTAACACAATAATAACTAGACATAACAAGATTCGTAAATAAAAGAAAGATGGTCAAAGTTTTAACTTAGAGTTTAGGAATGTAAATTATCACTACAGTGTTAAAATAGGCTAGTATGTGTAATGGTACTTTAAGCTTAGGTATATTTCAACTTACTAATAAATCATAAAACAGGATAAGTACATTGTTTTACTAAATAAATACAATCTAAAAACTAGTTTATTGTCTCTTGGTGTTTTAAGAATTAACTTGTTTACTTGAACTTAGATCCAATTGTTTAAATTCAGCTTCTAGATATAGGCAGGTTATAATATAAATCAGGCTAAATACATTTTATTATTAATGTCACATATATTGTTCTAAAAATTATTAAGTTCTATATAATTAAAGATAAACTTTATTACTTTAGTGTGAAGATAAAGTAGTGACAAAAAATTATATATAATTGGTTATTAAACCTTACGTTCAACAGTAACAGTGTTAACAATAGGCTACAGCTATTTGGTACCAAGTATTTATTTTCAGGCTATAAGTATACATACAATGGTTAATACTAGTGTAGGAGTTAAACATTCACAGTTTGCTAGGTGTAATGGGTGCAATGAGTGGGTTTTATTTAGGACCTCGGAACTGGAATGTACTTTTAAGGAAGCTGGTAATGAAAATGTGCAATTTGTATGCAGAGTTTGTAGGTTGGTGGCTATCATAATTAAAGTACAGGCAATATATAAAGAGAAGTGTAGATTGTGGGAAATGGTAGCAGGATTTCAGGAGGATCTTAAGCTTTTACATGCAAGGGATGCATCAGCTAACAATGACTTTCAGGAAATTAGAAAGAGTACTATTAGAGTAAAAAGTAGTGAATTTTGTTATAATGAACCTGTTCTGTTGAGCAACAGATTTCAACCCTCGGCTTCTAAAGATGAGGAACTATTGGAAGGAAGGAAAACAAAAGGGTCAGAGAAAGATGTGGATGATAAGGAGGTTATAGTTATAGGATATGTGGATAGAATAGTCTGTGGGGTAAATCGGGAGAAAAGAATCAGATTATGCTACCCAGGGGCACAGTTGGAGAATATAACTGACAGAACAGAAGATATAATAAAGGGGGCAGGCAAAGATACAGTTTTTGTGGTGCATATAGGGGCTAATGATGTAGGGAAAGGCAGGTCAGATGAGCTAATTAATAAGTACAAGGGGTTGATAAAGGCATTTAAAGAAAAAGGCCATAACTTAATTTTGTCAGGGATACTGCCCAGAATTAATGAAGTTATAAGTAGGTCACTAGGGCTAAATGCTAGGCTTAGGTTAGTATGTAAGGATGGGCAAATTGGCTGGTTGGGCTTGTGGGATCAGTTCAGTGAAAGAAGGGAGCTTTTTGGAATGGATGGTTTACATTTAAATAGAGTAGGAGTTGGCTTGTTTACTAAGGCTATTAACTCAGCTGTAAGGGAAGTTTCAAACTAGGTCTAGAGATTGGTGAGAGTCAGGAAAACTAAACGCAAAAAGAATAAGAGGCAGAGAAGAGTTTAGCATGGGAAATGAGTGTAGAAGTAGTTCTAAGGATAGGCTTAATTGTTACTATTGTAATGCTAGAAGTATAAGAAATAAAATAGATGACTTTAGAACACTGGTAGGAATGGAGGATTTTGCTACAATGGGAATAACTGAAACATGGTTAAATATAGCTGATCTTGATGACAGAAATTTCTTTGAAATACAGGGTTACAGGCTATTTAATAGGGATAGAGTATTAAAGAGGGGAGATGAGTGACTTTATATGTAAAATGCGAGTTACATCCTGTTGAATTAAATAATGCATCTCACAGTAAATAAATAAATATGTAAAATTATTTAACTTGCTTACAATTATACAAACTTGCTTCTTCATGCCACTAAAAAAATAAACAATAGTATATTGTAGCTATCAATAGGGCTAATAGAATTATGGGTAGCATCTATAGAAATATTGTATACAAGACAAGGGATATTATTGTTTCACTGTATCAAACACTTTTAAGGCCTCCTTCAAAGTACTGTGTACAGTTTGGGGCTCCCTTCCTCAAGAAGGACATTGAATTGTTGGAGAAGGATCAGAGAAGAGCCACTAAGATGATACCTGGGATGGTGGGATCGTCCTATGAGGATAGACTAAAATATCTAAACTTATTTTCTCTGGAGAAAAGAAGGGTCAAATGTGATTTGATCGAAGTGTTTAAGATTATTAAGGATACTGATAATATAGATCCATCACACTTTTTTGTGTTTAGCAGTGAAAACAATAGGACAAGGGATCGTAAGTTCAAATTTTGGCAGCGTAGGAGTTGTCTGCAGTTTAGACAGTATTACTTCTCAAACAGGAAGGTTGGCTTTTGCAATGAGCTGCCTTCAAGGTTGGTGGAGGCAGAAAATTTAACTGAGTTCAGGAAAAGATTGGATGAATACATGAGTAGGAAGGGGTGGTTATAGTTGGAAGCTGGAAGGGGCATCCTTGATGGGCTAATAAGCTTTTCGTCCCTTTAAAATGTTATGAATTTATGAATATTACTAGAATTTTAGCACAAGTCTACACAAATTGTAACAAACAAAGGCTATTTGCACTCTTTCCACTGCTGGAAATGATAACATGAATTTTAGCATTAAAAATCCAGAAACTTTCCACTGATCCACCAAGGAACACCCATATGAGAAGGTCACCTACTATTACTAATAGTGATACAATTTAGTATTACCTTTTAAAAAATTAATTTTTCACTATAAGTGTATTTTGTAAATGTTTGCAACTTTGTAAAACATAAAGTTAGCAAATCATATTTCAACCCTAAAACAGGTAGTAATGGTACTGCACAGTCACCACATTCATACTCAAAGACAAAGTATTTATAAAAATCAAAACAGCTACAAACACTTAGCATAACCCATAGCATAAATCTCTTAATCTTATTTGACATTACTTTAAATTTAAGTTTTATTTGTACCAATAACGCAATAAGCCGACAGTGCTAGCTGATGCCAATACTCCTGACAGTAACAGTAGGAGCACACAGAAGAAAGCAAAAGAGAGTATGTAAAAATATGTCAACTACACTACATCTGCTAGTACTAGTAGTGCTACATAGTATTACTAAATTAAAACTTGGATTGAATTTTAAATTGTCTTTCACTGTAACTTACAATGTAAAACGCGGATGAGCAAGTTTAATTTTAAGGTATCAGAGCATACCAAATCAACTAGAAATCTCTGAAGGACCATACACTTACTTTAAACTATATAATTGAACGGCTGCATATATTATAATTAAATTATACAGTTCATCTATATTCAGTGAAACTGAAAGCATGCCATTCCTTTTGAAAGAGGCGTTCTATCGCGGTAATATAATGCCTAAAATTAGGGACCTTTACCAAATGAAACTTGTAAAGATGCATTTTACAGTTTGTAAGCGTTGCAAACACCAAATGTTTTTGTTTTTTTTCAAAATTACTAATATTTCACACTAAGAGCACCAAATAATAATACGAAAATCATCATTTTAATATTATCACTCAAAAATAAAGTACTGTAAGTTGTTTGGAAATAATATTTGTAAAAACAATTTAATATGTTATTACAACAAACGTTTAGTTTGAGTGATACCGGTATCGTTAATTATAAAGTTAATATATTTGTTTGATAACTCATGGTTGGGTTCAAATTCGATGACGAGGAACCCACTTTGAGACTAATAATGGTTGGAGACTCTTTCAATCGCGGTGAATTGTAACAATGCAAATTTATCTTTGACACACTAGAGAACTTGAAGAATAGACAAATATAAGTGTGGTAGTTTGACTAAGATCTTGAGAATTTTTCTTGATCAAACTGTAAATGAAGCGACGTTATAAAATAATTATAAAATAGTGAATTTTTAAAATTATTGTATCAAGTAGTGTAAAAATAATCTGTTTTAGTTTGTCCCTATTTCACTTATTTTTCTTTATCCTTCCACAATGGTGTCAACTTTTTATTCCTCCTAAAGTAATATGATATAACAGAAATGGTGTAATATTTCATTTTTCTAGCGGGAATAAACTTAAGGCCTTATTTTCGATTTTTATGTGCCTTGTTGAGATACTTGTAAACGTATAATAGTTATAAAATAGTGTATTTTCAAAAATTATGGTATCAAGAAGTGCGAAAATCAACTGTCATCGTGTATTTGTTATTGTTTTTTAATAAAGTTCTTGTGTATATATGCGTTTAATATCTCCCGGTGGGATAGTGGTAATTTTACTGATTTGAAACGCTAAAATCCGGAGTTCGATTCCCGCAGTGGATACAGCAGATAGTCCAATGTGGCTTTGCTCTAAGACAAATCCATAAATAATATGTGTCTAACTCGCATTTCTATATCAGCTGAGACTTGTAATTATTTTCTTTCGCGCAATGTGAAAATGAATGAAGTTGTGACAATGATTACTAGCATTAATTGCTGTAGATCAGTGATTTTTAACCTGGGGTATATTTACCCCTTGGGGGTAAAAAATTACATGGCAGGGGGTAAATAATTGATGTACCTGATGATTGAATAATAATTCAATTAAATTTTATTTTGTAAAATGTGTGTGTGTGAGAGAGAGAGAGAAAGAAAGAGAATGTTAAGAATGTGTGTGCTCGTGTGCATGCGTGAGGGAGAGAGGGAGGAGGGGGAGGAAGGGAGAGTGTCAATCAATCCTGTTCAGTTCTATACAGTCACTATACTAATTCATAGGCCCGGCATGGCCAGGTGGTTAAGGCACTCGACTCGCAATCTAAGGGTCGCGGGTTCGAATCCCTGTCACACCACACATGTTCGCCCTTTTAGCCGTGGGGGCGTTATAATGTGACGGTCAATCCCACTATTCGTTGGTAAAAGAGTAGCCCAAGAGTTGACGGTGAGTGGTGATGACTAGCTGCCTTCCCTCTAGTCTTACACTGCTAAATTAGGGACGGCTGGCGCAGATGGCCCTCGTGTAGCTTTGCGCGAAATTCAAAAACAAACCACTAATTCATAATTATTTCTTTTCAGATTTTGTCCAAGAAACGTACATACCTGAATTTATATGTACAATATGGTTTTGACTTCATTGTTGTGGATGGTGTGGAGAAGCTTCAGTGTCTGCTGTGCTCAAAAGTTCTTGGAAATGGGTCACTGAAACCTTCAATATTGAAACAGCATCTGGAAGCTACACATCCTGCCCATGCATCTGATGACCGTGCTACATTTGAGGCAAAGAGAGCTAAGTTTAGGGCTGCAGGAACACTGCCCAAACTTGGCTTCGTATCTGAGAAGAAACCAATGCTTGCAGCTTCCTATCATGTAGCGATGCGAATAGCAAAGGCAAAGAAACCTCATGACATAGCAAAGAAGCTGATTAAACCTTGTGCCTTAGACATGGTTGAACATGTATGTGGGAATAAAGAAAAACAGAAGATTCAAGCCATTCCCCTTTCTAATGGCACAATTTATCGGCGTATTATAGAAATGTCGCAAGATATTTGTCAACAAGTTATTGAACAGATCAAATCTAGCCCAGCAAAAATGTCTTTGCAATTTGATGAATCCTGTGATGTAGCCAATTTTTCACATCTTCTTGTTTTTGTCCGTTACATATGTGGAAAAGAACTAAAAAATGAATTTCTCTTTTGTGAACCTCTCGAACAAACCACAAAGTCTATTGATATAATGCAGAAAATACAAGACTTCTTTGAAAAGAACGATCTCACATGGGACATTGTTGGTTCAATCTGTACTGATGAAGCTCCAGCCATGATGAGAGTGAGATCAGGCTTCACTTCACTTGTGAAGCAAAAGGCACCCCATGTGATAACAACACATTGTGTTCTTCACAGACATGCATTAGATACAAAAACTCTTCCTGAAAATCTGAAAATTGTTTTGCAGAAAGTTGTTGAGGCTGTTAACTTCATTCGAGCCCGAGCTTTGAATCACCGTTTGTTCAAAGCTTTTTGTGATAAGATGGGCTCTGAGCATTCCATTCTTTTACTGCATGCTGATGTGAGGCGGCTTTCTCGTGGACTTATGTTAAATCGTGTGTTTGAGCTCCGTACTGGGTTAGAGTTTTTTCTTCGTGACCGGAAGTCAAAGCTGTGTGAAGACTTTGCTGACCCGAAGTTCATTGCCTGTTTGGGGTACCTCTCAGATATATTTACCCATCTTAACCAGGTCAACAAACAACTCCAGAGAACGTCAGTAACCATTGTTGAAGCAAGTGAAAAGATGACAGCATTGCAGACAAAGCTGGACTTATGGGCACGGAGAGTTCATCAAAGTAACTTTACAAATTTTCCAAACTTGGATGAGGAAAAATCTGGAGAGTTACCTGAGATAAATGAAGACATCACAGAAAATTTGAAAATCTTAAAGAATCACTTCACTGGCTACTTTTCAAAAGACATGATTCCAACAGAGAGATGGTTAATAAGACCTTTTGTCACTGAACTGTCAGAAATGAAAGATGATGACCCAGAAATAGAGGAGCTGATTGATCTTCAATCCTCAGCTACTCTTAGAGAAGAATTTGAAAAGGTTGGTGTTATTTTTTGGGTGAAACTCGCAGATTCGTTCCCACTCCTTACTCAGCGTGCCTTCCAAGTGCTTGTTCCTTTTGTAACTACAGACTTATGTGAATCAGGGTTCTCAAGTTTAGTAGCAATGAAGACAAAGGCCAGGAACCGATTGAAAGCCGATGACGATATGAGAGTAGCATTGTCATCAACAGCTCCTCGCATAAACAAACTGATTGACTCAATGAATCAGCAGTGTTCCTACTGATAATGTTTCTGGTGTTTCTGTTTGGTTTTATTTTTGTGATAAAAATGGACTGTATAATTTTTTCTTTAGAAAAGAATGTTTTATTTTCTTTATTTTTTGGTGATACAAATGTATATTGCTATTTTTGTGCAAAACCTGAATGATATTTTTTTTTCTGACCTTCTTGTTTTTCTGTCCCTTTATGATGGCTATGAATTTTTTGTATGGAAGTAAGGGGGTAAATGGGGAAATACATCAAGCCGAGGGGGTTAATGATGGAGGAAAAGTTGAGAATCCCTGCTGTAGATGATATAGCGGGTAAAGTCGTGCTTCGCGTACAAAGGGTATACTTTAGGCTTAATTGTCGATTTTTTTTAGCGCCTGCCGAAATATGTATTGAGATGTAATGGTATTTCGTTATTTATAAGCCACAGAAAAGTAAAGAATAACTTAATGTTTTTCTTTGCGTGTTTATTTATGTTACTGAAATAATTGGCTTTAAAATTATTGTTATGAAGTTAGTAGTTCTGCACTTGTATAGAACAATGCACGTTAAAGGTCGTTCATTTTTGCACTCGTATAAAGGTAAAAGTAGAATTTGCCAGTAGGAATAATAAGTTTCCATGTGAGCTACCACGCATACACGCACGCACGGATTGTCTGACACACATGATTGTTTTATTTTCATAGATCCGTCAGTGCTGTTACACAATAACTCATTATTGTCTTAAATGACTTGATGAAAATAGAGTTTTCACGAGATATATTTATATGATATTATACAGAGGGTATGTAGAAATATCAAAACAATACTATTGTAGCAGTTTCTTTTGTTGGGCAGCTTCTTATGGATGACTCGGTTAAAATGATAACAAAAGTCCACTCCACTTAATTATAACAATAGCATTTTATTTTTTCGATTATCAGTCCTACAGAGGGTTTAATGTATTATATTAAAACGATTTCTAAATATGCAAGTCACGCGACAATCATAGTCGATATAAAATTGCGAAGGAATAGAAGTATCAGAACTACATTTTGACATTGTTTTGCATTTTTACCCTGTAACATCCCTTTTCGACGCAAAATATTCATAAACTCAGATTATAAAAAAGGTGTTCAGTCGGAGATTTAAGATTTTGCAAGCCAAATATATCTCTTATATTTAATGTCATTAGAAAAGAAAGGAATATCGATAAACTTGGGGCAGCAGGACTATCCAGAAAGAGACCTGCAACTCACTATACCCCAGTTGTGTAAGCAAAATTTGGTATATTGTAATAGTTGAGATTCCACAAACACAAAAGACAGAAGCAGAAGCTATCCGTGAGTTGCAGAAAATAGTACAGAACATAGTCAAAAAGAATCTCCACCTGTAAATCGAGATAAATTAGTCCACAAGTTGTCTCCATGACATATTCATTCAACCATTGCATACCATAATCAGCTGGAGAATGAAATGAGTATTCATGTTATTCTATATAAATACATACTGTTCAAATTGCCAGAAATAGATTCTATAGATTTATGTGTGATTGACTGTTAAAACTAGAGCTAGAAAACCATCATCCTCATACACTAGATTGATTACGGAAAGCAAACATAGAGGAGAGACGTGCTTTGGATATGACATCCTTATGACGGAGCTTTTTGCAATGGAAACTATGCTGCAGGGATATTGTCAAGTTGCATGGTTGTCAGAGAGAGTATGATCGAATATGGCGACAAGGACTGTGTGTAATGATGTGGTGAGGCTCTAAAATATTCTTGAAAGACCCATTGTCCTGGTACAAGGCTTTAACCCCCAACACTCAACAAAGTTGCCCAGGAATGTAGCTTTCCAGTCCTCTGGAGACATACTCAGGAACATAAGTGGCAGGAAGTATAGACAATATGTTTACAAGATATGGTCTCTGACTACCAAATCACTGGATGTACTATAGGCTCTTTACTACACTACACCTCTGTTACTATGACTTTCTAATTCTACATCTGCACGTTACCTAGATGCTCACAGTATTGAGTGCTTGTCCTTCAAGCTTAACAGCAAATATTGAGTGAAAGTTCATCACTTCCCGATCCATTTTTCTATTATGAATTCCTAATTGTTGCCAAGATCACGATTTAATCTAAGAATCAGACATCCAACAATTACCTGCATCAACATTTAAATGTTTATTGCAATCCAAAAAACTTTCGCATGATCTAGAGTGCTAAATGTGACTGAAGTTTCTTGAAACTAAAAACTAGAACCAGAATAATAACATTGCCAAGTGACAGGGAACTTTTCATCAAAACATTTGTTGAGCCAGTTTTATGTTTGAAGTTGAGAACCAAGGCTTAAGGCAGGTCCTTCCTGTTCTATTAACCATAATCTCAACTGAACAATGAGTCTTTACTAATTATTCATTGGTAAAATGCTTTGTGCCAGAGCACTAACTAAATGATAATAAATTTTCTCTCCTGGATTTCTTGTATACAGTAAGCTGCATTTCAAGCATTTAATTTTTTTATAATTAACAGCTATTTATCAATTAAGTTTATATAACTAATGGGCAGTTCTGAGTCATACAAATACAACTGATATATGATTTGTAGTTTATGTATAGCTTCTCCACATCATAAGAAAATATATAAATGAGTTATTTGTGTGTACATTTTAAGTCACGGTTTTAAACATACAATGATTTTAAACATAATCAAATGCAACATTTTAACCATAAAAGTTTAATACTAGAAAATACTATATCTACAATCGAAGTATATTTTGCAATTACATGTACTTATTTTAATCATACAAATATATATATACATATATACTATACCACTCTCCTCCAGGATTTTTGTTATAAGAACTTTTGCCTTGGAAAAATACATTTCAAGTCTCAAATCAAAATACTTATCCATGCTTAAGAATAAAATTATTTGTCTAATCAAATTACTTATCTATGCTTAAGAATAAAATTATTTGTCTAATACTTTTATATTAGTTATAATTATAAGTTGTTTTAACGTTCAACACGATATCTATACCAAAATATTAATTCGAGAAAAGTATTTGATTTAAGGTAAAATAACTTGCAGGAATGATTTTAACAGAATGATGCATCATATTACACAGTGACTGTTAAAGTGGCAGCTTTAGTCTTATAAACGCAGCAATACCCTCATATTATAGTTAAAGACAATTAATAAAATCACAGATGTTTATGGGGGCACATATAGCAGGAGTGTCTTTGTTAAAGGTCATTTCTATGACTAGTTGTTCAAAGTAATTGATCAGCAGAGTTTATTAAAATTGTCCATTAACATGGAAAGTATCTTCTGCTGGGTAAAAATGTAGCTTAAACCGCTTGTAACTTACACAGAGGAAGCATGGTGGGGTTGGACAGTTTATTAAGTGAAAAAAGACAATATTAAGTGAAAAAAGACAATAGATTACAACCCACTGAATGATTTAATAAAAAAATTATCAGGATTCAGTTATGAAGGGTGTTATAAATGTCATATTGTGGTATTTGCAGGTGCATTGATTTATCTTAGAGTGATTGGGTAGGTTATACAGATTCAACATAACATATTATGCATAGTTAAATTGTATTTTATAACATTGAGTTGTGAGAAAAGAAAGTGACAAGGAAACAATAAAACTTAGTGAAACAATCTTTATTTAACACACAAGACAATATAAATGAGTGTATTTCCTAGGACCGCGCCTATACTGGTACTTCCAAAGATTTATGTCAGGAAGAAGAAGAATATGTTCCAGACTGAGAAAACATAGCATTATATATACAAAACAATAATGCTATTCTTCTCAGGATATATATGCTTCCTGTATCACTATTGGTCATTCTCACTGAAGAATAAAGGAGATTGTAACCTTAGAGTATCAACTGACTCACCAGTGGGAAAGATTGGTGTCTGCTTTCACATAGTGTGTTCAACTTTACAGAAACCTTTCCTACGAAAAAGCGCGCGTGATACCACATCTAAATGACCTACAAAAATAAGTAGCTAGGGGAAAAGAAGTTTATTTACTTTCTTGATTAACATTCTGTAATTAAAACAGCATACTCCTACATATATGAACATTTTTGAAAAAAATCTCATCTTAAAATAAGGAAGTAGAAAACATATATTATGCCTGTCTACAGCAATATTATAACCAAAAACCAATCAAGACACTGCTCATCTGAAGTAGAAATAGAGGAAAACATTTTCTAGGGTTTAGGGTGACTGAAAAGATAGTCTGATAATCATTTTACACTCATTTTTTTAGAACTGACAGTAAGGTAAAAGTGGAGATTCAGATATTTGACTCTACATTTACTGTCCCAAGGTACTGTAATAGTATAAGAAATGATTTCATGAGATAAAAAAAGTTTTTAGCCCCTTTAGAACATTAAAAGATAACCAAAGAATACTCGAATATTGATACTTATTAAGCTCACTCATTATGCTGGATTCCAAGAATTTGAAATTATATGTAAAGCTATAAGTAGAATGTTTTCTTAAACTGGAGTACTAAGTTGTGGATTCTAGCACCTTTTAACTACCTCACCTTCAACAGATTCAGTTTAATTGAGTTTATATTATGATGGGACTAAGGTTAAAAAAAACGCAAATTATATATATTCTTCATCAAACAGATACTTGATATTTTCAACCCAAATGCCTGCCACTTTATAAGCCACATTGGATAAACAGCCAGGTCAGGTCGCCCATAGTTCAAGCAATATCGTCTTTAATTTAGAACCGACGACTAGAGCCTAAACATCAAATCTTAACAGAGTAGCAGGGTTGCATGACTGTCTTCTTTTTAACATATCCACAGTGGCATGTACAGGGCATTTTCAGATGTATATCGCAGTCTTGAGCCTTGGATCTTTCGACATGCAGCTCGGCATGCTAACCACTAGGCCATGTCTAGCCTTTCATCTAACAAAGAATTGTTGCGTCATCGAGATCA